TAAATATATTAGGAGTACTTACACTTTAATAGTAAGAAATAGACTATATTAAGTAGCTAGAGGATATATAATAAGTAAGGTAGTATATAGAGAGTAAGGATTTAGTTCTCTAGGTAATAGTCCTTAAACTCCTAGTTAAGATAGCTCTTATAGCTGTCTAAGATAAGCAACCTATACACTCCTACCTAATATATATTTATATACATATTAAAGTGCTTTAACTACTTAAGGCTAAGTATATTATTTATCTAACTATTCTTAGAGACTAAGAGCTTCTAATTATAGGGTATATCTGTCTCCTTATACTAGGCAGAGATGTAGACACAACCTTTGTAGATAATAAAAGGTGGGGTTGCATACCTAGCAGCGCAGATGCTCTAGATAACAGTAACCTACTTGCAATTGCCTTGCTGAACAAGCTCTAGCTAAGCACGTCTCTCTAAGCCTGTTACAACCTTTAAAGACAAAGCAACACCTATCTGTAAAGTTATAAGACTTTGTTCTTATAATCTTTATCTAGCTTATTTCCCTCTTAGGTATAGCGCTATGCTTACCTAAGCATTGCTATTGTAATCTCTAAGAAGAGAGGATTAGAATGGTGTGCTTACAAAGCCTGTATCTCCTCTCGTTCTTAAGATATACTGTTCTCTATTTTTAGTAACTAGAAATGTTCTAGACCCTCTGCTTACAAATAGAGTAGCCTACTCTGTGAGATGCTGATGTATATGATTACGCATGTGCCTATGTAATCTTGCTTGTATATGCAGTAATACTAAGCATAGATAAAGTAGACCTACCTAGAGGAGTCTAGAACGTTCTGCTTAGAAATACAGACAGAGGAGAGGAAGCATAAATACCTCTTGCTCTCCCCCCTCTGTTCGCTCTGTACCTAGCCTAGGAATCTCTACCTAGTATCTAATATAATAACTTGTCTATTATATTACATAACCCTACCTTACCTCTATTAGGCTATATGCTTCCTATTTAGACAAAGCTAGTCTAGATTTGTCTAGGTCCTTCTAGACTAGGAAGAAAGTAGTCTAGTCCTTCCCCTACTTTCTTTACACTATCTAGAACCTAGTTTTATTAAAGTTGTGTATATTATTATTGTAAATACTAACGTGGTTTATCACTAAGCCGCCAGGTATCACCGAACTGCCACCCCTCACTAACTTTTTTAGAGTCACTAACTATTACACAACTATTACACTTAACTACAACACTACACTAATACTTATAATTGCTATAATTACTCTTTAGAAGCAGCGCTATTATCTGCATCTAATATTTCTGTAGTGCAGGTGCGCAAATTGTGGCTAGTCTTGCCACAACGTCCGCAGTGCCTCTCTTTGCGCACCTTCTTCCTAGACTATTCAGATGCCTTACTACCACCACTGTCCTTCTTAGCTATTATATCCTGTACCTCACCAACTATAAGAGCCTCCTCTGTCTAGATATACTTTCTTTTGCAACTACACTGTGCTGTTAGAGCCTTAATAGCCTTCTTCATGCTATCTATTTCCCTTCTCTGCAACATGTTAGCATAGTCTATCTGCGCAACCCCTCTAGCAAGCAAGTCAAGTAATTTTATAATAGGAGACAGGGGCGAATCTCTGTGCAATTGCATGCGCTCACAGATATACAATGTTTGTGACTTAACCTCCTTTGCACTAGTTAGTGTTTTGGATTCCTATAGGGTAGTCTCTAGTGGTGGTGGTGTTGGCGTGCAAAGGACTATATCAAGCTTTAATAGCACTCGCTCTAGGTTAAAAGGAACTAGTCCTGCGCCTCTAAAGCCTCTGTGGATATTGTCTTTTATAATAGCCTTGTAATAGGCTGTCTAGAAGCTAGTAAGGAAGAACTCTTTCTTAATTTATGTCTTTAAGTATTGTAACTAGGCGTTAACCTTAATTAAGTACGCCCTCTTTAAGGGGCTAAAACAGGCCACATTAAGTGGCTGCAACAGGTGCAACAAGTATAGGGGCATACACAAGGTAATAATCTTATATTCTGCGCAGTATTCCTTAAACTCTGCAGAGTTGTAGCTCTTGTAGCTATTAATAATAAGCAGATAGTAGGCACTAATAGTACACTCTTTTGTAGACGCGTTAAAGTGCTTTAACTACTCTAGACTAAGCTTATTTATTGTCTAGCTATTCTTGCTAGTTGCAATTACCTAATTGCAAGGCAGATTAGGGTACTAGGTTGTAATTAGGACCTTGCCTTAGAAGATAATAAAGGGTAGGATAGCCTAGCCAGCAGCGCAGACACTAATAATGATTGTGACCTACTCCTAATTGCTAGGCTAGATATTCTTAGGGTTAGATTGCTTCTCTAAGCCTGTAAACACTATCTTAGACCTAATTATGCCTATTATAAACCTAGTCTTATTAAAGTTGTAGGTATCTCTATCTAGGATTCTATACTTCTCCTTTGTATTCCTAACTAGCTTAAACTAGGGTGTTATAACGCGTATATCTTTATTTAGGGCTTGTTAACAATTGTACAGTTAGCTACGTTAAAGCTTAATTTGTTGGGTACACGTGTTAAACCTGTTTACCTAGAGCTTGCTAACAGGTCCTTCACTACGTGCAGCAAGCAGATTATTAGCTATATCTTGCACTATAGTCTTTGTTGCGCCTATTCCTTGCCTGTCTAGCTTAAGTATATAGTTAACTATTGCCTCCTCTTCTACCTTTATTAGCTTCTTTAAATTAGCCTTGTGATTGCGTTGTGCAAGCCCTCCTACGCGTTAGTCTCTTAATATTAATTAGGGAACACTAAAGGCCTTAGACACGTGATTTATACTGTTAGGCACAGTAGCTTTTGTAGCTTAGATAGCAAGGTATAGTGTACCTTTGTTATAGGGTGATTGCGTGTTGCGTTGTGATGGCATTGTAATAATTATTGTAACAGTCGCAAAATTGGCGAGGGGTGGCGGTTCAGTGATACCTGGCGGCTTGGTGATAAACCACGTTATACTTAACTTAAGTATCCTCTACTAGCTTAAACTACGTGCTAATTATCTTAGGATCTTCCTATAGTATCCTCTGTCTATCCTTAGCTTAATTAAAGGCTATTTTAAGCTTATCTAAACGCGTTACAAGCCTGCTAGCCTATAGTTTGCTAACAGGCTCTTTACTATCCACACTAAGTATCTGTCAGATGCTCGTACTTAGGCTGGCGGATGGGTAGGGTATGCTTTTTTACGTTTTGGCTTATAGCTTCTTAACTAGCAGAGATACGCTTACATAATCTATTATTTAATAGAAGCGCCTAGTATTGCGCCTTCTAATAAAATAAGAATTAGCTTATTCTGCCTAGTATTAGCTAAGTTATTAACACTACCTAGCAAAGTATACCTATTAATAGGTATGCTTGCTAGGTACCCCCCCTTTTTTGACGTTTTCTAGCCTCTAGCTTGTGCAGTTTAATAGTTATAACAAAACCTTCTACTACAAAAATGTAGAGGTGGTTTTTCTCTTTCTTTTCTCTTTCTTTTAAGCCCTATTTCGCTAGAATCCATGTATTATTGACAAAGTTTTGGGGGGTACCCACGAAGGACGTTAGAGTATACCCATTCCGCCAGCCTACTCGTACTGTGAGCCAGAGTATGTGCTTAACGAGATCTTAGGTGGTATGATGATATATTGATGATCGTGGCGATGGTGTTGCCGTGGCGTCGTGCTGGTTGCTACAGGATTGAAGTGGGGGGGGAATTAGCGCTGTTCGCGGCCGCCGGTGTGCGGGCCAATCAGGAGTTGCCAGGTCTCGCTTAATCGACCTGGCAACTGCTGATTGGCTGCACGACAGGTCCCTGCTCGATTGCGCAGATCCGACCTCTCGCCGCTCGCTATTATCTGACAGTATCTTATTAGCTATATCTGCCACCTTACATAGCTAGGGCACAAATCCTTGCAAATTAAGGTTAAGTATATACTAGACAATTGCCTGCTCCTCTAGCATAGTAAGTTTCTAGTAATTAGCATGTATATCTAGTTAAAACGTAATATTGCAAAGGTAATTAGATACCTGCTAATAAGGTACATTTAACACTCTAGCAGCGCTGTAGATACTACAAAATTAGCTAGCATAGAAGGCCTAGATAGTAAGGATAAATCTACCTTCTCTAGTAGTATTCTAAAGTTGTTGTTGTTAAGGCATGTTATGTTAGGGTAAAAGGTGGTTGTGCTAAGAGAAAGTGGCCAGTTTGGTGATATGGCCGGCTCGGTGATAATCTACGTTAGCGCGTAGTTAGTAATAGTTAGAGCCCTTAGCAAGAGTAGCTTTAATAGTAGTGGTGTAGTTGTCTTTAGGTTAATCTTGTCCTAGATGTTGCGCAACAGGCATCTCGCCTGTAGCTGTGCAAGCTAGCCAGTCTAGTTAGCTTAGTCCCTAAGGACTGTCATTGGGTCGCAGTACGCTAGTTGCGCTATTTCAATTGTGGCAGTTTAGTTGCAGTAGTAAGACTCTTAATTGTTAGATGCTTGCACTGTGAGCCAGAGTATATGCTTAACAAGATTTTAGGTAACGTACTCTATCACTGAGCTAGTCATATCACCAAACTGGTCAAAATCTGCCAAGACTAACACAACTCTGCACTTCACAGTATGTCTTAACAACATCACAACCTATTGCTTCAACACAAAGGGAGACTGCAGCTTGCTCTCTAGGCCTACAATACTGGACAGTTTCAGAGCCATCGGGCTGCTGCTGCTGCATTCAACGTTAACTAACGCAGGCTCTCTTAACGCGCTAGCAATACTCCATTTTAACTCAACGTATGCGCAAACTGCTAGAAGCTTACTGCAACTAAAGAGCAGATAATTGTCTAATATATTCTTAACCTTAATTCGTGAGGATTTGCGCCTTAGCTGTGTGAGGTAGTAGATATAGCTAATAAGCTGTTAGGTGTGTGTAGTAGGGAGCCTGTTAGTAAACTCTAGGCTATAAGATTTATAACGCGTTTAGATTAGCTTAAGATAGTGTTTAACTAAGTAAAGGATAGACAGAGGATACTGCAGGAAGATCCTAAGGTAATTAACGCGTGGTTTATGCTAGTAGAGGGTACTAAGGCTAAGTATAGCATCTACAACAATAACGTGCACAACTTTAATAAGACTAGGTTCTAGATAGGCGTGATAGGGTTAATAAAGGTTGTCACAGGCGCTAAGAGACGTGCTTAACCTAAGCTTGTTCAGCCAGGCGATTAGGAGTGGGTTACAGTTATACAGAGCATCTGCGCTGCTGGATATGCGACCCTGCCTTTCATTATCTAGAAAGGACGCATCTACATCTCTGCCTGGTACAAGGAGACAGATATACCACACAATTAGAAGCTCTCTGTCTCTAAGAACGGCTAGACAAACAACGCACTTAGCCTTAAGTAGTTAAAGCATTTTAACGCGCATACAAGAGCGCGTTAGGTAGGGGGATACAGGCTACTCATCTTGGACAGCCATAAGAGCTACCTTAACCAGGATTTTAAGGACTATTGCCTGGATAACAAGATCCTTACTCTCTGTATGCTAGCTTACTTGTCACACATCCTCTAGCTGCTTGACGTGGTCTATTTCTCGCTGTTAAAGCGCAAGTACTCCCAACGCGTCTAGGACTTAGCACGCCAACGTGTCTTCTACATTAACAACATCGGGAAAAGTTTTTCCGTTGTCGAAATCAGGAAATCGTGGCATTGTACTGTGGGCAACAGTAGGACTTGTAGGCCTACAACAGTCATTCAATGTGCATTCAATGTCTAGCCAATTTTAAGCCAACAGCTCTAACAGTCCTAACAGCTGCAATAGCCACAACAACTCCTAATCCTGCTATAATAGTAGCTCTGCTTAATAAACTATACTTTTATTATATTAATATACTACTAAGTCTCCTCTTTAAAATAAGCTATTAAATAACATTATAGGCCTAGTAATAGAATAGTTATTAAGTGTAGAAGGTTTTAAGCTTAATATTCCTTGCTAAGACACTAAGTTAAGATTCTTTGCTAGGGCTCTAGCAGCCTGAATGTTAGAAAATATAAGAATATTATTTAAGAATAGTAGGTAAACCAAGAATTTTACGCCCAGGCCTGCCTGTTCTGCAAGCTCCTGTTGCGCTGTTGCTGTGTGTGTGTGTGTGTGTGTGTGTGTATTGGTCAGCAGGTGCTATGCTGTATGCTGTTGCAGCTGCTACGTTGTGTGCGGGCGCAGCTGCAGCTGCCATGGTGTGCTGTCGCAACTTCAAAACGCTAACCTTCAACAAACAAACCTTCAACGCTCTATAACTCGCGTTGTAGTAGGCCAACAACAATAATTTTTCGCTTATTTTGAAGCTACAATTTCGCTCTATCTGTACGTGAAATTTTGCAATTTTTGAATATTTAATGCTAGTGCTAGCACTAAGGGTAGCCATGCAACGTTGTTTCAAGTTTGTTGAATATAGGCACTCAGCGTTTTGGCTGTTGGCAACGTTGGCGCGAAATTGGGGCCGTTGGGCGCAAATTGGGGCCGTTGGGGCCGTTGAATGGCCGTTGCACGACCATGCCACGACTGTCAGCAACGGCCGGTCTAGGCCGGATTTCGAAAAACTTTTCCCGATGAAGGAAGGCTTCCTTCCAGCCTTTAGAGACGCGTTTCTTAATGTGTTTACAAAGGCTAACTGTCAGAAGGCCTTTAAGGCATTAGGGCTAGTCCCTACTAACGCGTAGGTAGTGTTAGATTGCCTTAAGGTGCGACACTGTACCCCACCAGCACCCCCTCTACTAGAGACACTGTGGTAGTTAAGGACTCTAAGCAATACACACAAGTTTAGGTCTTAGTTAAAGCTTGTACATAACTCCTTTACTTAGTTACTAGTTACAGCCTAGGCTAGCTTCTCTTAGCTTATTAAAGGTGGTGAATTAATGCTACACTAAAACATGCTGCAAGCTAGGCTGGCGGAATGGGTATACTCCAACGTCCTTCGTGGGTACCCCCCAAAACTTTGTCAATAATACATGGATTCTAGCGAAATAGGGCTTAAAAGAAAGAGAAAAACTACCTCTACATTTCTGTAGTAGAAGGTTTTGTTATAACTATTAAACTGCACAAGCTAGAGGCTAGAAAAGGTTAAAAAAGGGGGGGTACCTAGCAAGCATACCCATTAATAGGTATACTTTGCTAGGTAGTGTTAATAACTTAGCTAATACTAGGTAGAATAAGCTAATTCTTTTTTTATTAGAAGGCGCAATACTAGGCGCTTCTATCGAATAATAGATTATGTAAGCGTATCTCTGCTAGGTAAGAAGCTATAAGCCAAAACGTAAAAAAGCATACCCTACCCATCCGCCAGCCTACTGCAAGCTGCTCACATTACTAAGCTTAAAGAGCAATTAGTAACGTAGATTATCACCAAGCCGGCCATATCACCAAACCAGCCACTTTCTCTTAGCACAACCACCTTTTACCCTAACATAATATGCCTTAACAACAACAACTTCAGAATACTACTAGAGAAGGCAGAGTTATCCTTGCTATCTAGGCCTTCTATGCTAGCTAATTTCGCAGTATCTGCAGCGCTGCTAGAGCGTTGAACATACCTTATTAGCAGGTCTCTAATCACCTTTGTAATATCACATTTTAACTAGACATATGCGCTAATTGCTAGAAACTTACTATACTAGAGGAGCAGACAATTATCTAGTATATACTTAACCTTAATTCGCAAGGATTTGCGCCCTAGCTATGTAAGGTGGCAGATATGGCTAATAAGATACTTAGTGTGCGTAGTGAAGAGCCTGTTGGCAAACTATAGGCTAGCAGGCTTGTGACGCGTTTAGACAAGCTCAAAATGTCCTTTAATTAAGCTAAGGATAGACAGAGGATACTACAGAAAGATCCTAAGATAATTAGCGTGTAGTTTAAGCTAGTAGAGGATACTTAAGTTAAGTATAGTGTTTGTAACAACAATATACACAACTTTAATAAAACTAGGTTCTAGATAGGTGTTGCTTTGTCTTTAAAGGTTGTAACAGGCTTAGAGAGACGTGCTTGGCCAGAGCTTGTTCAGCCAGGTGATCGCGAGTGGGTTACCGTTATTCAGAGCATCTGCGCTGCTGGGTATGCAACCCTGCCTTTCATTATCTACAAAGGACGCGTCCACATCTCTGCCTAGTATAAGGAGACAGATATACCCTATAATTAGAAGCTCTTAGTCTCTAAGAATAGTTAGATAAATAACATGCTTAGCCTTAAGTAGTTAAAGCACTTTAACACACATATAAAGACGTGTTAGGTAGGAGTGTACAGGCTGCTTATCTTAGACAGCTATAAGAGCTATCTTAACTAGGAGTTTAAGGACTATTACCTAGAGAACTAAATCCTTACTCTCTGCATGCTACCTTACTTATTGCACATCCTCTAGCTACTTAATATAGTCTGTTTCTTGCTATTAAAGCGTAAGTACTCCTAACATGTTTAAGACTTAGCACACTAACACATCTTCTATATTAATAAGGAAGGCTTCCTACTAGCCTTTAGGGACGTGTTCCTTAATATATTTACAAAGGTTAACTACTAAAAGGCCTTTAAGGTATTAGGGCTTATTCCTACTAACACGCAGGTAGTGTTAGATTGCCTTAAAGTGCAGCTATATACCCTACTAGCAGTACCTCTACCTAAAACGCTGTAGCAATCTAAGACGCTAAGCAATACACATAAGTTTAGGTCTTAATCTAAGCTTGTAAGTAACTCCTTCTAATAATTACTAAGTGCAGCGCAAGAGGGGTTCTTAAAGCTTGTAAAAGGGGCTAAAGAGATGCTGTATAAAAATGTCCTTATTAAGGCCTGCATGCAAGAGCTTGAAGAGCAATTAGCAGTAATAACTAAGAGAAAATCGCGTAAGAGAAAGCAGATTCAGCATAGTGGCACACTTAAGTATGGCCCAGCAGCATCGTGGGTAGCTGCTAAGGCGTGTGTAGCAGCTCAGCTATCTAAGAAGACTTAGGGTAGAGGTGGTCAACTAGGAGCTTAGTCAACTGTTTAGTGCTGTAGGAACTGCAGCAAAACTAGACACAACGCACAAACGTGCTAGGAGGGTGCAGAAACATCTTCTAAATCTAATACAAGCACGCAGTATGCTAGGTCACTGTTTAATAGTAAGTAGTTGTAGTTGCAGTAACTTGTGTTAGTTGTGCTAAGAGAAAATGGCCAGTTTGGTGATATGGCTGGCTCGGTGATAATCTACGTTAGTTATAACTAGGAGAAAGTTGCGCAAGCGAAAGCAAATTTAGCATAGCAGCACACTTAAGTATGGCCCAGCAGTATTACAGGTAGCTGCTAAGGTGTCTGTAGCAGCTTAGCTATTAAAGAAGACTTGTGGTGCAGGTACTTAAGAAAGGACCTAGTTAGCCTAACAGCGCTATAGAAACTGTAGAGGCACAGGGCACAACGCTTAAACGTGTTAGAAAGATACAGAAGAAGATTCTAAACCTAATAAAAGCACGCAGTACACTAGATCACTGTTTAATAGCAAGTAATTCAAGTTGCTGCAACATAAGTTGGGCGCGCCAAGAGATTTTGACTGGTTTAGTGATATGACTAGCTTGGTGATAGAGCACGTTAGTATAATAATTTATTAATAATTGTGGCAATAGTGTCTCTTGTCCGCGTTGTGCTCGTTGCTAGAGGATTGAAGTGGGGGGGAATTAGCGCTGTTCGCGGCCGCCTGTGTGCGGGCCAATCAGGGGTTGCCAGGTCTCGCTTAATCGACCTGGCAACTGCTGATTGGCTGCGCGACAGGTCCCTGGTGAAGTTTGGTGGGGACTTGGCAAAAGTGACCGGCTCGCCCATTGACCGGCTCGCCCGTGAGGTACGTTAACAATTCTAGCCTTTTACCGCCACAACGAATCTAATCAAATCTAAATGCTAATTGGCATCAACGAGCGTCCCTTGCAAGCAAGGAGCCCCTCGACTATCAACGACCAAACCAAGATAACACAGCACACTAAAATCCTCCAGCAGCAGCAAGCCTCCGCAGCAAACCCACACCGACTGGGTTGGGTTGCCAGGGTGCACATCAACCCTTGCCGGGATGCACACTGACCTCTTCCGGCGCTGCCGGCGTTGTCCGGGATTGTGTCGTAACGGGGCTTCCTTCTGTCGCAGCGGGCGGCGCGGATCCAGTGTGATGGTTGGGATGGTGCACGTGTCCTTCTGTACACACCACACACGGACGTAGAAAATCTGACGCGCTCGGGCGAGGACATGAAATCTTAGAATAGGTAGGCAAGAAGGCGGGTGGCAATGGAACGCAACGCGCCAGGAGTAGGTAAGCAGCGCTAGCAACACGGCTGCAGACGCTGTAGTATCGATTCCAATATCCAGCGGTCTACCTACCTCAGTGCTTACCCAGACTCTCCGTCCGCGGCTCAACGCTCCTGAAGCTCGCTCTTCGCCGCGCGCTCCCCGCACTCGTGGCCCCGATGCTCGCACGCCTCGCGCCCAGCGCGCCCGCGCCCTCGCCCCGCTCCGCCTCCTCCATGGTCTCCTGACTGCTTGCACCAGCCTGTGCGTGGTTCCCGCCTACGCTCTCCATGGTGAACGGACTGGCGGTCGGTGCATCGAGGATGGCGAGTTCAGCGTGCGTCAGGAAGCGCGGCATGAGGAAGGTCCGCATGGGAATGTACAGGAAGATGAAGACGGGAAACCCGATCGCAGCCACGGTCTGCGTGATGGCGAAGGTGGCGCCGAAGCCGACTAGTTCGAGCGCGACAAACGCCCAGGGCACCCATTTCCGCTGGATCTGCGCGAGCGGTTCAGAGCGCGCGACGAGCTGCGCGTCGGAGAGGAGGAACGTGAGTTTGGCTGTGATGCCGTTAGCTTCGAGGGCTTGGATGCCCATGACGAAGAATAGCCCGGCCAGGACGGCTTGGGGGATGAGGTGCAGCACGATGAGCAGCGGGCCGGACATGGTGCCGAGCGTCAGCAGGCCCTGGGCGAGGTTCGAGGCGCGCTGCTCGACGACGCGGTGCGTGACGCGCTTCGGTTCACCCTTTTCGTCAGTCTCGACGCGCGTCACGCACAGGCTAGTCGTGTGGAAGGGCGCCTGCGGGATCAGGCCGTTGGGGAAGGGGATGCCCAGCAGCCCTGCGACGCCGGTTGTAAGGCCGAGCAGGAAGATGTCCCAGTGGAAGCCTGCCGGTTTGCGCAGCGGGAACTCGGTGCCTTGGGCTATGAGGCTGGAGACATTGTGGTCGAACCAGAACAGGATGGTGAGCAGGACTGCGAACGGGATGGCGAGGAACACGTCGCCGACGCTGATGTCCCAGAAGTGGATGAACCAGCCGCGATCAGCGGTGGGGGCGAAGCTCTTGCCCGTCGGCAGCTTGAGCAGTTCGACGCTGGACATGCGGCCAATGTGCACGAACCCGGTGAAGAAAATGACCGTCAGCGGCGTCCCGTAGTCCTCGATGAACTTGCGCACGTGGCGCGGGAACAGCGTCGACTGCCCCACGACGCCGCACAGATACGCGACGGCGGTGACGAGCAGCGCGATCATGACTGACAGATACGCCGATGCGTCGCTGACCTCCCACTGGCGCGTGAGCACCTGGATTCCTTTCTGGAGGTAAATGAAGGCGACGTAGAAGCCGAAGATGTCACACGAGAAGCGCGTCACGTACTTGAGCGCATTGCACGAGTTTGTCGCCGCGAGCACCCAGTGGAATAGCAGCGCCCAGAGGCCGATCCAGCACATGAAGGCGAAGTAGTTCGTGCCCCGCGGCGTGACGATGTCGTACACGGTGTAGTTGAACACGGTGATGGGGCCCGTCACGCCGACAATGACCAGCGGCTGCGCGGCGAGCAGGCTGAAGACGCCGCTGCCCAGCACGCTCGCGAGCAGCACCTCGTTCACGCCGTAGCTCATGCCCGTCTTGGCGAACATGTCGAGCGAGAAGGCCAGCGCAGGCAGGATGTTGGCGAAGTACATGTACACGGTCGCAGGGACGACACGGTAGTCGTTCGCGTCGGCCCAGTCGCTCCAGTACAAGGGCGCGCGGCGCTTGACGTCGTTGATCATGCCGGCGAAGAGGCGCGTCTTCCACCATGCTCCCTTGCTCTTGGAGCCGTATGGCGCGGCGTGCGATTGGGTGTTGGACGCTGATGGGGACTTCTGACGCGACCTCCATGATTCCGGGCGGCTTCGCGTGGTTGATGTGCGGTCGTGGCGCTCGATGGCGATTGCAGGGACCGTGACAGCATCGTCTCGAGACGCCATGCCGGGTTCCTGTCGTGATGGCAGCAGACAACTCAAACGAGTGTCAGCGAGCGATTATCAGGGCGGTCTCGCAGCACAGTCGAGGAGTAAAATAACCCAGCAGCCCGCATGCTGGCAGCCGTTCGGTACATATAACGGGCGGACCTCGCTGCCCGCCGTGGAGACCAGCCGGGACTAATCACGGCGGTGAGTGCGCTGAGTGCGGTGCGGGAGACGAGTGACGTCCTGCAGGGACTTTTTGTGGGCAGGATTAACATGTGGACGAACCACTTGGCATCCACGAACGACACAGCTACACATATGCGCCACACGGCAGTGGCAGGTCAAGAATTGAGGGCTATTAGACGCTGCAAAATATCTTCATTTCCTATCCAGATGGTCGGCAAGCTTTGCATTCTGCGAGTGTGGTGTCGCAAGATGGCCAATCAGTCATGCATCGAGATCGGAAGTGGACCCACCGGCTCCGTATCCTTATTTGAACATTGCAGATGCCCGAGCAGAAAACCTCCGAGCACCTCCACGCTAGATATTCAGATTCTCAAACGACTTCACCGCCTACCAACGATAATGCACCTGCTGAGTCAAGTTAGAAGGCATCGTAGTGTGCAACCGCTGATGCGGTGATACCTGGCTGAGGTCAAGGAGGCGTACCTGAGAGCCTGGCGTGGAACTGTCAGACGCTGGGTTGGACCCACCACGGCCGCGGCCGCGACCACGCCCTCGGTGGGAGCCGTTGACCAGGCCACCTCGTGTGTGAGCGTGAAGGCCTTCAGGCTGTCCCCGTGGTCGACCTCGTCGTGCTCCGTGCCCGTTACTGTGTGCGGAGTCATGGGGGTTGTACAGAGCCTGCGGTCCGCCACATCCGCGGCCCCTGCCTCGGTAGCCACCGCGGTCATTGTCTGATGGGGCCGTTGGGGCAGTCGATGCAGGCGTGAGCGTCAGCGAGGTGACTGCAAGCGGCACTGGTGGTCCACCATCACCGTCTTCGTGGTCGCTCCAGCCTTCAGCCTCGTTCCTTGCCCTCTCTTGCGCCTCCTCCACGGCAGCTGCAAGCCTGGCGGCCTTCTCGCTGTTCCGTATGCTCTCCAGCTCTGGTGAGTCGCGCAGGCTGGCCTCGCGAACGCAGATGGCTAGCATAGCCTGTACCGTGTATGCGGCGTCGTTGCCAGCGTTGTGGAGACCGTGGCCAGCGATGTCGAAGCCGTGAAGGATCCTGCCGAGACTCGTGGAAGTCAGCTCTCGACGCCACACGCGGTACATGACGGCGGTATCCAAGGCTTCGAGCAGATTGTCAATCTTCATGGGGTCAAAACCGAGGTTCTGGAGGTACTTGACGTCGCCCAGGGTGTCGTGGCCGAGGAAGATGAGGTTGCGCTCCTCGCTCAGATTGACCGTCTTTGTGAGGTCTACGGCGCTCTTTGCGTTGGAGGGGTGGGCGCCGAACGGAGGCGAGAAGCAAGCGGCAACATGTGCGGGCGCTGCAGCCAGAGCAACCATTGTGGATTCGCCAAAGTAGAAGCGGTCTGGGCATCCTTGCACAAACTTGGAGTTGACCAGGTGGGCGTGCTCCTTGATTCGGAAATGGCGCGTGCGGATCAGAGACGTCCACTTCTCAGCATCAGGGCCCGGGGCGACATTCACTAGATCTCGCGTGTCGAGTGTGGCGATGCCGACTTCGGTGATCTTGTGGTGGGCGCGCTCGTAGGACTCGACGTCGACGCATACGAAGACGACCGACTGGTCGCAGTCGTAGGGCGCGGGTAGGGTCTATTTATGTCAGTATACCGTGCAAAGTCAATACACCGTGCAATGTCAATACACCGTGCAAAGTCAATACACCGTGCA